ATCATAAAAATTGTACTTACGTAGATAGTAAATAGCCTACGTGCTTAAAAAATAACTTTAAAAAAACTTTATAAAAATCAAATAATCATATAAAAATATTTCTAAAAAAAGTAAAATGTAAAAAATAATTAAGTGAATGATCGATACTTGATAAAAAAGATTCTTGTAAAAATTAGCAAAGTTCATGTAATATAAAAAATATCATTCCATTAGGTTTTGTTCCTGTATTCAAGTCCAATAGTTTGATAAGAAAAAGCTGCTTCTGGTGCTTTCAAAAAGTATCTGTCAAATATATTCAAAAGATCAAACGTAAACTAATATAGCAGACCACTGTTTGTGTGTTGGAGAGGCGGCCGCCATGTTCTGTAGAGCGACGAGCGATTGGAAATTCCGGACGCTCTTTTTCTATGGAGTGTCGCAACTGTATAAACTGTGACCACACTTAAAGCAAATGGGCACGTTCGATTTTCATCGTTCGTTTGTTCGGTTCGTTCGTTTCGCTCGTACAGCTTGTGCTGTTCAGTCGTTTACTATACTCGTTAGACGTGGTATCTATTTTAAAATAAGCTTACATATTAATATAAAAGACAATAATTTCGAACCTTTGCAAATGTTGGTGACTATTGTTATTTCTAGAAGTGGATGACCCAAGCCAATGAATACAAAAAGTCTGAACTCTTAGTGGATGTAAGCGAACTGTACGAGCGAAATGATCGAAACGAACGTATGAACGATGAAAATCGAACGTGACCTATCCTACTAAAGTGAGCATGCAGGTGATGCAGGCGGCTGAGAGCGTGATAGCATAACCGAGTACAGGACTTGCTGCACGAAGCATAGAGATATAAGGATAGAGTGCGCTAAAGACTAAATACAGCGATACGGTAAAAAAAAGAGATAGTTGCCGAGTGTCCTCTCTGTCTCTTTCTACCCGAGCGCTGTGATTAGCTGATGCTCAAGAGGCAATAACCCATGATATAAGAATATAAGGTGTGGCTTTGCGCATCCATTTTGATTGACTAATCAGGAACACTTCCATCGAGCTGCCATGTCTGTCTGCGAATTTCAAAAGCTTTTAAAATATAAAGCAAATTAACATCAAGAAACTCGTGAAACAATATATGTTTTTAATTTCAATATTTTTATTCGAGTTATTTCAGTGACCAAACGTACAATTCGTAAATATTCACACAGAAAAACTAACTAAATAGGTAATCATTCATCAATAGACGTACATGTATATTCATACGTATACGTGAGTGAGACATACATGTCTATATCTATATATATGTCTCACTTCGAGGTGGATGCGGGGGATGGATTTTAGTTTTAACTTTTGCCACTTCGTTTCATTGTACAGGCTCTTCGGTGCTGTAGTAGTCACATCTCCCTCAAATATGGCGTCGTGATGGAAGGCGCATAACGGCACAGAAATGAGATCTCGGAACGCCACACTTTATATATTCTGACATCATGCAACAACCCATGTCAGTAACTGCCACTGACGGCCAGAATAACCCCTTGAGCAGCAGCCAATCACAGCGCTCAGCTAGAAAGAGATGGAGAGGAAACTCGGCGACCATCTCTTTCTTTTACCGTATCGCGCCCCCTTAAGTACAGTAGATTAGCGCACTCTATCCTTGGATCTCTATGGCATGAAGCGATAGTACTTAATTCTATTGCAGGTATCAGAGATTAGTAGAGAGATTGCTGACTGCAATGCTACGGCGCGAGTTCACTTTTGGCCACTGTTTCGAGCGCCCCGTCGCGGCCAAGAGGTCGAACCAGGCACACATATTTTTTTTTTTATTTGAGAAGCATGGAGGGGGTATACCGAGTGTGTGCCTACGGATTCGCGTGGAAATGGGCATGTAGGCACATACTTTGGAGACGCGTGGAAGGGGTATACTGAATACTTATGTGCCTACGGAGAGAGGAGTGGTGCATGGAAATGCCGACTACAGCTATNTATATATATATATAATTACAACAATACTACCTAACTGTACAAGTGCATAAGTTAAGACAAGTTAGGACGTATTAGTGAGCTGTTCACATAGACATTTTTTGCTTATTTTATTGTGAACGTTCATGTTGAAAAGGGGGTTCTACTGTCCTGCTAAACTTAAATTGAGTGAACAGACTGAACAGACCTATACTGTGTTCTCTGTCAGACTGTCAGTCAATATAGTTGCGACCATGGGCCATAGGCCATAGGCCAGCTTTGTTGCCTGATGGAAAGAGAGGTATAGGTAAGTCTGTTCAGTCTGTTCACTCACTTTGAGTTTAGCGGAACAGTGGAACCCCCTTTTCAATATGAACGTTCACAATGAAATAAGCAAAAAATGTCTATGTAGCTCCTAGACCATCTTCAGTGACAAGACCTCACAGCTATATTGGCCAAGAAGCAGACTTGTATTGAGACTTTTGAGAGTTCCTAAGTCGATACCTGCTGATGGATGTGTGCGCGCTGAAGTTGATAGCATAGCCCACTTCACAAATACCGTGCCTGTGTACGTACATGCTTACATCCCATCGGAGAATCGAGGGGAGGTGTTTGAGGATGCTTTGAGCCGAACCCACGGCTGAATATTTTGTAGTTCATAACTCGTCAATGCGCATTGTTTTGGTGCCGTGTTGTGGTTGCATAGTTAGAAAATTCGTACTGATGGTAGCTGCTGAGCAGTTGAGCACTGCTGACAGCCGCTAACCGCGGTTGCTACTTCTTGCCTAATGCCTGAGTGCGTTATGATCAAAGATTTTTGAGCAAATTGGTGGTCAAGCAGCTGATTCAACCTATTGATGACAATAAGGGTTGTGTGTGTTGTCTTTTAACTTTTGCTACGGCTTACGAAGTCTGGCTCAGTGCTGACTTTGGATAATTTGGATATAAAAATCGTAGTACTGGCATGTTGATAATCATTTGCAACAAAAATTTCACCTTGGCTTTATATATTTATGTTAACGTGATATGAATCATTAAATCTATACTATTACTGATTATTATTAACATTTTAGGTTTTGTAGGCGCTCGATATCAAGGTTCAATTAATTTTTTGAGTAGCAATGTAGTGATAACTGTTTTTCTTGATGTAGTTTATTATTATGTTACTGCCGTACCTGCTGCTGTAGATGCATAGATATAATTCACAACTATCTTCCTAAATGATATTTGCATATTAAGTTGAGATGATTGAATTTGTTTTTTCTAAAAGAGTACCATAAATAATGGAAAAACTTATTTTCACAAGGTACTAATAACTTTCATTGACATATTTCAATAAAAAATATAAATTCATACGAGTAAGCTAAATGATTTAAGCATTTTACTAAACGTATAGTAATTAATTACTATGATTGAACAATTAATTTGAAAAAATAAACTCTGCCTTATTATTCATTGGTACTGCTTTTTGTTTTTTCATTGTTACCACTTTATTGTATTCATAGATTATCAACGTAATCCTTACAGGTTGTAAGAAAGTACCATATGCAACTAAAATATCAAATTTGCAAAATGTATGCAATTTTCCTATATGGATCATAGACAATTAGGTTTTCTGGACTAGCAGAATGGCCCAACGAGGCAAGAGAATCAATAAAGCTGATAATGACTCAGCTTCTTGTTCAAGCACGTTTAAAAGGCGCAAATGTAGAGCCGGGCAAAGTGCTACTGACACACCAGGATCTGTGGGAACTTTGGGTCCATCAGAAGAAGAAGAAACTATGGCATCATCCAGTCAAGGCGGATCTTCTTGGACTCCTAGACCTCTTAGTGATATTAAAATATCAAGTATCTACAATCGGTCAGCTGCAGAACCACCTGCTGAGTTGTATCGCAAAGACTTGATCAGTGCAATGAAATTACCAGACAGTGAACCCCTTAGTCCTAGTGAATATTGGATAATATCCGATCAGTGGAAACAAGAATGGGAAAAAGGGGTTCAAGTACCCGTTAATCCTGACTCACTTCCAGAACCAATTGTCACTGTTATTCAGACACCACCTATGTGCAAACTGTATGGAGAATTCAAGTTGTAAGTAGACCTAATTCTTTGGATACCAGCATTAATGTACTTTATTTAAAAGTTGTAGTGACAATAACTACCTTATAACTCAAATGTAGTGTTCATTTAAACTTGTTAAACACACGGACATCGTTCAAAATTAAATGTCTAAGCCTTTTAAATTGTTTGGAAAAACTTTAAAAAACGCAGCTAATGAATTTAAAAAAAAAAAATCAATAAGTTATCAAATAATACAAAATAGTTAAGAAACATACAATAAAGGAGTGATACAATTATTAATTTTTATATGGTCTTCATAAAAATGTTTACCTTTAAATTGGAAATATTTTTCTGAAACTCAATAACCCTGCAAATACTACGTATAATGGCGATTTCCTACTTTAAATTATAAAATATCTGTATAGGTTAGAATCATTAACTTAAAATTTATATTTTAGACCAAAAAAATATTTAAGGATATTCCGAGATGACTTTTTCAATCCTGAAGAACATTTCTTGAGTACTACTCCTGCTCGAGCAGAAAAAGCCTGTGGTTATGATTTGGATGATATTGACTTTGCTTGGCTTGAAGTTTTGAATGGAGAAAGAGCCCTTGTAATTATTAAAAAAAAATTTTTTCATTCATTAATTTTCAATTGTATTCCTAAAGGGATAAAAAATTTGTGTCGTTACTTGATAATTTTATGAACATTTATTTTTTCACTATTTACAGTGTGGTCAATCTTCTGTTACTGAGACTCAGCTGGAGCATATTATCGAAGTGTTAGAGCACTGTTGTTGGGAAAAAACTCAAGCCATACTTAAAAGTGAAGAGGGTCTTGGAATAGAATTTGACGAAAATGTTATATGCGATGTTTGTCGATCCGTGAGTATCATGAGTTTCTTATAAATTACGAAACAAAAATAACCAGTTTAAAAAATTGCTTTGTGTTCAATATATTAAATTTTCTACTGTAGCCTGACTCCGAGGAGGGCAACGAAATGGTGTTTTGCGATTTTTGCAATATTTGCGTGCATCAAGCTTGTTATGGAATAACATCAATACCGGCTGGCTCATGGCTCTGCAGGACGTGTTCGTTAGGTCAGAGACCAGGATGCGTATTATGTCCTAACCCGGGGGGCGCTATGAAGTCCACGCGCAGTGGCCAAAAGTGGGCCCACGTTTCTTGTGCACTTTGGATTCCAGAAGTTAGTATAGGATGTGTAGAAAAAATGGAGCCCATCACAAAGATATCGAGTATTCCAGTAATTGTCATATTTATACTTTCATTTACAAAATACATTTATGAGTTATCGTAATTAGTTATGTTGTGTCATAAGTTGTATGATACGTCTTTTACCATTGTTATTTTTTACACGTACTAATAATTTTTTTTTTTTTTAAATCATTTTACAAGAGATTTTTCCTTACAGCAAAGCCGATGGGCTCTGATTTGTGTTTTGTGTCGTGAACGTGTTGGTGCTTGCATTCAATGTAGTATAAAAACGTGTAAAACGGCATATCATGTTACATGTGCTTTCAAACATGGACTTGAAATGAAAGCAATTATTGAAGATGAACAAGCAGAAGACGGTGTCAAATTAAGAGTGAGTAATTAAATTTTGAATAGTATACAACTGTCAAAAATTCTCTAATATTTGTAGTTGAATCTACTATCAGGCTCCGATTGCTCAGTGCTATAATATTGTTGAATTAAATTAAATCGTAATGCGTTTTAGTTTATGGGATAATTAAGTTAGCTTACAGAGTTATCAAATAATAAATTCATGTTTACTAGACAAACAATTCGTATATTACAAATAAAAATAAATTCTAGTTGAAAGATGTATCTATTGATTGATAAAGATGTTGAAAAATCTATCAAACAAGATATGTTTACGCAAATATTATAATTTGCCTGATTAATAGTGCTTCTGAAAGTGTTTAAAGAGTATGCTTGAAGTGTCCTAAAGTCATTGATTGGCTTCGTCATTATCGGGACTAACGGGGAAAGTAGGAAAATTGTCGCTAAGTTGTTACAAGAATACAAGCTTCCACGCTATCAATAGTGATGTGTACATGTGTGCATGTGAATATGTTTTCCTCTACCGCTTCTACCACCATGCAGTTCCGAAAACGGCGTCTTCAGAAACACTAGCTTTAATATCAAGTCGCGTGGGAGCACGACAAGGTAAGTTTGAGATAGCAGACGAAGCCTCTGTGACCGCGCTACTATTTATTTCAGATTTGCATACTCAAATTTTCAAATATCAAAAAATAAACATTTTTGCCGGTATGCTTGATATAATAAGGTTTAATTCAGTCTCTTTAATCCTACTCCACAGCTTCAGCGAAAAATATTGGTCAAAAAGTTGTTAGAACAACGAAAACTAGATATGTGTATCTCAAAATACTTAAAACAAGATTTTTTCAGGCTCAGTTGTCAAGAAATGATTTTATTGTTAAGTTAGCTGCAAGCCAAATTTTTCTTGTGTATAATTTGGATTGGCGTGTTATTAAAATCAAGCAGAGCTGCCAACAGTGTGATATTGGCTACAGGTACTTCCGAATGTTACAGTAGAAAGTACGCAGCGTTGGGAGTTCTCTGGCTCTGTTCGGAAATGGGATCGGAGATATCTTGCATATTCGCTCCGAGCCGATACAGAGGTTGCGCNTTGTTTGCAAATCTTTAATAAGGTGTGCTACTTTTATTTATTTTTAGACAGCCAGAAGAACAATAATGAATGAAACAGTTCGATGAATAAGTAATAAAATTTATTCGGCAAGATTCTGAGACTAAACATTTTTTACAATACCGCAGTATTTTGTTAAAAACAAAAAAAAAAAAAATGAAATACCTTTAAGGGTGATGATTGTAATAAACATATTTTTAGGCTGCAGATTATAAAGATAAGTTTAATCATTTATATTGAATGCAGGAAAAGCATCGTAATACTTTGAACAATGATACAATCGGGTGAGTGCAAGAAAGAGTCTTTTTAGAGTAAAAGTCAAGAAAGAGCCTTTTTAAATTTTCGGGCAGAATAAGGTCCTCTTAAACTAAAAGAAAAAGCCTTTTTATGCAGAGGTACACTCGCACTCCTGCGTTGGCGTCGATTGGTATGATTGAGCCCAACGAAGCATCGCTCAAGATTATTCTTAGACATTTTTGAGTTCTTATTTGCTCCTCACCCAGCTCTCGGTTGATCTCGTACCCCTGTACAAATCCACACATTTATTCTATTTTATTCGAGAGCAAAACGAGGAGTTCAACAAAAAGATATCAATGCCTTTTNTAAAGTAACAGATAAAATGTAGAATATGGCTTACAACAGTCTCTACGATAATTTTATACCATATTTTAAAGAAAATAATAATTAATTTTTAGTCTCCCCATTTTGATACTGCACTAGGCGCTGGAGCCACCTTAATAATCAGTTTTTTAACTAGTAGTAAAATCAGAAATCATTTAATAAAATCAAATTTTAAAGTATCTTAAGTTGTACATCGCTTTTACGGTTTTTGTACTTAGTTTCATAATAAAAATTTTTTTATTACGAGAATTACTTAGCTATTGAATAACTGTAATTTGGAATTTTTGGATTCCATTGATACGTATAAAAGATTTAAAAATGAAATCTAGTTTAATAAATTACGCATTTTACATTTTTAATGCTGATAATTACTAATTCATCTACAAATTTTATTGGAAAGAGTCATTTAATTCATGTAATTAGCCCACCCCCGCGGTCCACCGCAATATTCGGCTACTCATTCAAGGCGCACGTTTCAAATTTTGTAATCCGTGGATATGTACTATAGCTGTTGATGTACACTGTAATTTGAAATGCACGCATAGAGTACTTACTCTATCAGAAATCGAGACTTGGCAGTAGCTCTATCCTATAGAATTGGCATCCTAGCTAACCTACGTTGGCTCTAGTGTGGCAAATGCATTGCGTTAGATGGCGTGGTGTAATGCGGGAATGTGGGGTAAAATATTGAACCGCCATTCAGGTCCAACGTGTTTCGTCCCGGAGCTGTTGGTGGACTTGTCAGTAAGGCATATCCAACAGCTCCTGCCTTAAACACCTACTTAGGGTGCTCACACTAAACTGGAACTTCCTTATATACTAACTGATGGATAATCCTGCCACTTGCGGATAAGCATAAGGAAGAAGTGACACGACTAGTGAACAGTTAGCGAAGTATCATCTAGTGATACCGGAGCCCCCCACATACTTTTCCTCCAATCACGACGACTACGAAGAGTCGGGAAGTGACTATACATATGAGATAGAAAGTAGAGTGATGGCAAAGTAGGAACTCGGAAACCGTATATCAAGGACCGATAATAAGAATCGCGGATAATCATGGGGCTACAAAGCACTACATCAAGGCACAGGGAATTCAGAGAGTAACCAGACTCATCCCAAAGGGCCGTAATATCACATGATGATGTCTAGAAGAGACGTTGATGTTAACGTCGGGGTCACCATTGTGGGGTAAAATATTGGATCACCACTCAGGTCCAACGTGTTTCGTCCCAGAGCTGTTGGTGGACTCGTCAGTAAGGCGTATCCCACAGCTCCTACCTTAGACATCTACTTGGGGTGCTCACACTAAACTGGAACTACCTTATATACTAACTGATGGATAATCCTGCCACTTGCGGATAAGCACAAGAGAGGTGACATGCCTAGCGGACAGATGGCGAAGTATCATCTAGTGATACCAGAGTCCCCCACAGGAAGAGCTTGGCCCTACCTTGGCATCAATTTTCCCATATATACAGTGTAGTTGTGTATGTATAATGATTTTTTTTAAACCATTTGCAAGGTTTTTGGAAGGTACAAGAAGAAAATATCGATTAGTGAAATTAAATAATTTATTTTATTAACGCAATGGATAGATGAATGAAAAAACAGATGCAGCTATAACTATCCTGTCTTATTAAAAATGTCTTTGTTGAATCTTGCTGCCCTTTCTCCTGTCCAATCCTTCGAATATTGAAAAATTGTCCCCAGCACACTCAAAATGTCCTTTTCCTAGATTTTTTATCTCGAGGAAGATTACTGTTGTATATTGACAGTAAAGACGCTGAAAAATTATTACAAAATTGTAATTAAAAATGTGACTGCAATAGTATATTGAACTTGCGAGTTTACCTTGCAGTAAGTTGTACAACTCTGTATCTTTAAACAGAGTTCTCTAGCCTTAGTGAACAGTGAAGTGCTGAATTACCTTCCGACTGAATGGCGACGTTAGTCTCTTTATGACTGTTGATAGAATGTCGAATAAGTCTGAATTAAAGTTTATTACTGAAATCGGATGTTGTTTCTAAAATTTGATAATAATAAAAATAAGTAAAATTGTTCAGATATAGAATGATTGATGAAGTCATCACTGCTACCTACAAGATCTTTTTTTGTTACACTAGCATCATTTTTTAAATCGTTTTAAAAAATGGAGAATCGTCCATCGTTTTTATCGGAAATAAGTATTCCTGGTGCCTATTTTCAAAATCTTTAAAAGTTAATATTACTAGCATATCATTAATAGGTTTTTGAAAATGCACAAGCTTTTTAACTCCTCTAACTGACCGTCAATACTCTTGTGTTTTTTGTCCTCATTGTTTTTATAATCAATAACTTGTCCATCTTTTTTGAAACAACATCTGCAATATCAAAGTAAAGTAAAATGAAAGTACTTGTATACTGCAAGGTTGTAAAATAAATAATACCTATACTCGACTGCATCGATGCCATTGACTGGTCAAAGTCATCTGTCTGAGTGGCAACAGATTTCATTATGGTATTTTGTTTATCAGTAGCAGTACTCTGTACACCTAAAAAAACACATTTGTTTTTAAAAAGTATAAAATTTTTTGTGATGAATGTCACTGTTAAGATAAAACTTGAATAACATGATAAAACTGACAAGTATTTACTTCCTGCGAAAAGTCAGGAACTTGAAAAAGCTTATACTCATCCTGTTTTTACTATAGACCTGCATCTAACAGTTTAGGTGTTGATTTACTCGATGATTTATGTGAGTTCTTACGCATCCCAGATACTTGATTATTTTATAGAGGCTTGGGTAGAAAATACTGAGGATCACTTTCTGGATTTGTCTTTTGCACATATAGCGAGATCAAATTAATTTTTCGGCAATGGAAATTCAGACTAGCGCGAAAAAAATTTGTTGTTGAAAATGAAATAATGCCAATCGATTGAAATAAAATAATATGATATGATAATATTAAATAATATGATCTCGCAAAAAAATTGCATCTATCGTTATAAACAACTTTTTGTAGGCCCTTTTACCAAAGTACCTTTTTATGCATTTACCTGCGGTTTGCAAAAACTATCAATCCGAACTTGCTGAAATTTGGTGTAGTTATTAAAGACTACTAAAGCTACAACTCTGCCAAATTTCAGCTATTAATGTTTATGCGAAACAGAGTTATTAGTTTTTTAATATTGGCTCAAAAAACGAGGTTTTTTGTACTTTTCGAGGAAACCACTGGACCAATTGGAATTGACCGAAGCTTATTTTGTTTATCTTACTGCCACGCATACTNGTTACTAGAATACCTATATAG